TCTGAATAGTTAAGCAATATACTACCTCTTAATGGTTCAGACCTCTTACTGGTTCAGCACTTAATGGTTCAGACCTCTTTCTGATTCAGCACTTACCCATTCAGAAGTTGCCAAACAGCCCCTTAGTTGAATAATGACTACTTGATAATGACCAAAGGTCCTACATTGGGAAATAAAAACATATGGTCCTATATTGGGAAAGTCATTATGTTTTAGTCCTATTTAGGTAAATTTCTCAAGTTACAAAACCATTGAGTAAATTAAATGAAACATGGGAAGGTGAGCCTAAGATGTATATATTGCACTACACCGAATGAGGTTTTTTAGTTAAAGGGTAAAGTTGTCAACTTATAAGAGAAAATAAAAGTGTGGAGTGTAGATAACAAATATGGAGTGCTAATATCAACTCCCTTAAAAAGTATCATGTTTTGTGAGTTGTGCACCTCAATGAATGAATTTGGCAGCATGGTGCGGCATGCATCACGGTCCTTTCTGTAAGGAGATATCAAACTGGCAATGCAAATCAAACCAGCATCCGCAAATAGCTTTGCAACTTCCCCTGAGAATTAATATTTAAAATAAATAAATAATAAAAACTCATAGGTGTAAAAGCCACTGATCAAAGTGTGTACAAAAGGTAATGGCATAGACCCACTTACCAACCCGGCGGATATTCTCAGTCCGGTCTTCTGGAGAGAACCCGAGATTCTTATTGAGACCATGACGAAGATTGTCACCATCAAGAACATAAGAAAGCTTACCCCTTGAGTGTAATTCCCTACCAAGAGAGCACGCAAGCGTGCTTTTACCTGCAAAAAAATTAAAAGAATAGCACGGAAACTACAAACGATTACTTTCTGTCACACAAAAAAACATCTTGTTTCATTCGCCTACAAGAATCTAGTTCTGGTAAGGTACAACGTGTGAAAACTATGAGCTAATTTTAAATTTTTGAATTTCTTGTTTGACTAAATGTGAAATACCTAACTTGTTTATAAAACCTTTTTTTAAAAGTTTGCATTGAATTATACTCAATTAAAGATTGCATAACATGAACTTGTTTTGGGAGAAAAAAAAAAGAGTTTTGAACCATGACTCTTTCGTAGGACAACAAGAGCAATTAATATAAAACAGACATCAACGATACGAAACAGAGCAGACTCCCACATGACAATAGGGTCTGGGGAAAGTGTGTGTACGCAAACCTTAACCCTACTTGGAATTATAAGAGACATCGTGACAAAAAACATAAGAAAAATGGAAAATCAATGCCAACCTGAACCGCTGAGGCCAGTGATCCATACAATGCATCCCTGTTGATTAAGTAATTTTTCCCTTTCTGGCTTCCCAACTGCACACTGGTGCCAGAATATGTTTGCTGTATTTCCCAAAGTAGCCATCAAGAAACTGAAATCTTGCCTTTTCCTATTTTGCCAATAAAATCATACAGTTCACAATTCACATCACGGGTAATCTGGAAAATTGAAACAATGCTAAAAATCCATAAAGTTTCATTTTGGTTATTTTAGTACCCGAAGAAGAAATTCTTTGTCCAATGAGATAAAGATCCAGTCTTTTTTGCAGAAAAAAAAGGAATTTTTGTTTTTGCAAGGGTAAGAATATATGTAAAAATAAATGCAGGGATCTAGATACCTGGTAATGTATCCTCATACAGTTTACAATTCACATAATGGTAATCTGGAAAATTGCAACAATGGTGGAATTTTATAAAAACCCATAAAGTTCCATTTTGGCAATTTAATACCAGAAGATGAAATTCTTGATCCAATGAGATAAAGATCCAGTCTTTTTCACATAACAAACAAAGAAAAAACTTTGCAAAGGTAAAAATTAAGACAAATCATTTAAGAATATCAGAAAAAAAAATTGCAGGGATCTGTACATCTGGTAATGTATCCCCAAGTATTGTAAAATTAGAGAAGATCAGGCAACTAGTAACCCTATTTCAGTTCTTAGCTTCTCTCAATCCCAACAAATGGAATTGAATAACTTCTGGAATCTAAATTTTTCCGTTACATAATGTGATTAATAACGCTCAATTGACGAAATCTGGTGTTTTGAGATGATAAATTATCATGAAAAAAACGCAACAAAATCACTCAATTCGTCGAATTTCAGCAGCCACCCACGAAATCAATTGCGGGAAATCACAATGAAAAAAAGAAAGAAACAATAATCAAAACTACAATGCGTCCGTTATAATTTGTACGCTTACCTGTTGAAGATGAGGGAAGGAAACCTGAAAGTTAAAGAATATGTGGCCGGAGATTTGATAAATGCCGGAGCTTTGTCGTTTGAGAGAGAGAGAGAGAGATTAGCAGGCGGGTCTTCCGCGCGGAGAATTTGAGGTTGCCTTGAGATGGATGAGCAATTAGAAGAAAAAAAAGCGTTAAAGGAGGATGTCAAAACTTAATTACCCATTAAAAAAAAGTCAAAATTAATTACTTGCAACAAAAAGTCAAAAGTCAAAAGCTAAATTTTACCAAGTGGGCCATGTTTTTATCACTGGATATGGTTCTGGTTTGATTGAAATAAAATCTGATATGATCTAATCTAATCTGATCTGAATGTAATTATATTTAAAATTGTTTCCGATTTAATCTAGTCTGATACGATTCTTATAAGAAAATTAAATAAGTACTCCGTAATAAAAATAAGTTGAAAGAACATATAACTTACATAAGAATACAAAGTTTGTCCTTTTTTCCTTTTTTGTTAACCACCTACTATTAAAAAAATTTATAACAATTTATATACTCCCTTGTTAATATTTAAAAGTATCGTTGAATAATATTTTCAAAATTCTAATAATATAGTGTGAATATTCTAACTATGTTGATTTTCTTTTTGTTCTTATAAGTTAATTAAAATTATTAATAAGCTATTTTTAATTTGTGAATCAATTGATGACATATTTCTACATACTCATAAGCTAGTTTATAACATCCTTTTTTATGAATTTTAAAAAAGTATAAAAACGATACTCCCATTATTTCTATACTTTAACAATGATAGCATCAAAATTCACATATATAGTATGAATGTAGTGAAATTCGACGAAAAATATATGGATATAGCCCCATTTAGAGAGTGAATTTAGTAACATCCCACGGCCATAGTTTTAAAAACTGGACCGGACCGGCCGGTTCGGACCGTGAACCGGCGAACCGGTCCGGTCTAGCCCGTTAGACCGTAATGTGCTTTGAACCGGTAAGAACCAATTGGTCGGACCAGTCCGCCCAGTTTTTTTTTTTTTTTGCGATTTTTTCTCAAAACATTACTCTGTGGGAGTTTGAACCCAAGACCTCTTAGAAATTTGTTTGAGTTCCTAACCATCCTAGCAAGGATGCTTGTTGTTACAAGTTCACATAATTTTTTGTTATATTTCATAATTAATAAAAAGATTGTATAATTTTTTTTTAAAATGCAGATCATGCAAAGATTTCGTGTTTTTAATATTAAACAACTTATTTGAAAAAAATAAAATCAACTCTTCAGTTATAAAATTTTAATATTATTTTTTTATATGTAAATTTTATTTTTTTCAATTTAGTAAAATAACTCAAGTATATTAATATAATTTTAGTCAATTGTTATATATATATATATATATATATATAAATTTATATAATTTTTAAATATGTTTAAACCACTGGTTCGACCAGTGAACTAGTGAACCAGTACCTTGACCGGTTCGGTCACCGGTCTGGTTCTGAAAACTATGCATCATTCCCACCATATAAAGTGTGAATATTATATTTTGATGCTAGTTGATATTTTGTGATAAAATAATAATCTCGTCGCACTTTATTTTTCTGTCAAACCAAGATTTTCTGTCAAACCGAGAGAACATTGATCATCAATAAATAAAAAATTACACTTAATTTTAATACAATAAAAATATGCATTAAAAGCTTTGGGAAAATTAATCTAATAAAATCACTTTCCAATACACAATGCAATTTTTATTTAATTAATATTCAATGTTTTTTATTTAACTAAAAAAAAGTCATTTCTACCTGTATGGCTGTATCTACTACAAGGCTAGAAGATCATGATGTGGGAAGAGAGTAACACTTTCAAGAGTTAATGCTAATTAATTTCTTTAAATTGCATAAATGCACAATAAATAAATATTGTGGGAGATGTTACAAGAGAACATTATCAAGGGAAAAAGGACTAAAGTAGGAGTAAAACATTAAAAATATACCAAAATAGGACTTTCATGTGTTTATTCCCGAAATATAGTATGAATGTAGTGAAATTCGACGAAAAATATATGGATATAGCCCATTTAGGGAGTGAATTTAGTAACATCCCACTATATAAAGTGTGAATATTACTCTCTCCGTCCCGTTTTAAATCGTCTATTTTAACTTTTGGACATATTTAAGGAAAAGAAAAAATAGAGTTGATTTTTCAAAATTGTCAGTACTTTTTAGAAGGAATGACGATGAATGAGAAGATAAAGTAGAGAAGAGTGACTTATTTTAAAAGTAATTTAGGTATTTTACTCTTAAAAGTTTACGAAAACAACTAACAAAAACTTATTTTGGGACGGAGAAAAAAGGCAAACAAGCAATTTAAAATGGGACGGAGGTTGTAATAAAATAATACTCTCGTCCCACTTTATTTTTTCTGTCAAACCGAGAGAACGTTGATCATTAAAAAATAAAAAATCACACTTAATTTTAATACAATAAAAATATGCATTAAAAGCTTTTTGCAAAATTAATCTAATAAAATCAATTTTTAATACACAATGCAATTTTATTTAATTAATATTCAATGTTTTCTAATTTAACTGAAAAAAGTCATATTTCTACTAGTCTCTACTACAAGGCTAAGAGATGAAGATGTGGGAACAGAGTAACACTTTCAAGAGTTAATGCTAATTAATTTCTTTGAATTGCATAAATGCACAATAAATAAATATTGTGGGAGGTGTTACAAGAGAAAATTATCAGGGAAAAAAGAATAAAGTAAGAGTAAAACATTGAAAATATACCAAAATAGGACTTTCATGTGTTTATTCCCGAAATAAGAGTTAAAATGCATTTACATTACCAAACGTGGTCGTGTACATTACCAAAAAGTATAGTAATGTGCACGTGTAGAGTGCCACATCATCTCCACATTACCACAATGCGAACTCTTATTTCGGGAATAAAAACATTGAAATCCTATTTTGGTACTGTTTCTATGTTTTAGTCTTATTTAGGGTGATTTTTCAATTATTCTGCAACTACAAGTATTACACCACGGAGAAGGCAAAGCTGCTAGCAAGGACAGGGATGAAGCTCCAATATGAACCTTCATGGTCAATACAACAGCTATGCCATTTGATTTCATAAGAACCAACAGGAAATGCGGAAGTATCAAGCAAACAGGTAGAGAAACCTTGCTGCCATTTCTCATTCTTAACCTCAAAGCACACAAAACTGAAAACCTCTCCTCTAATATCATCATCATCGTGAATATTATCACCTCTGGTGTGTTCCAATAGTTTTCGGTTCAGATATATCATGTCATCGATTTCGTCCTGGGATGGGGTTTTTGATGATCTTGCGTGAAGAACGCAGTACAGCTTTGAGATCTTGCTCGGCATGTTTTTGAGTTGAAGGCATAAGTTTAGATGGAGAAGGAAGCCAGATGAGACTGATAAACGGTTTACCTTTTCTCCGTCTTCTCCCAGCAAGAACAGCTCAGAGCCAACACATGGCCTGAAATATTTTTCAGCCGATTCAAACATCACATATAGTTTTCCCCAGCTACTGATTCAATTCCAAAATTTTAAAAAGGATATAAATGGAACTAAGATATTGGCAAGCATTCCAAGATTTCATGTGTTGGCCCATTCAATTCCAAAATTTAAATAGGCAACGCATATATTAGCGCGAGCCTCTCATTCACTTCAGAGCAGGAGTGAGTGGGTTGGTTCTACCCCAGACTTCATTACCCCACCTATTTAATATTAGTTCATGTGCTCAAAAAAACTATTTAAGAAGTCATTTTCTTTATGATATTTAAGATATTTTCTAGAGATTCAAGTAGTGATTTAGCATAATAATTCCAACAAAAATTTCAAGAGATCCATTCACTTCACTTCAACCAAACACACTCCAAGTCCAAATGACAACACTGTTTTGTTAATCATTTCTCAATTCCTTAATTAAACCGGAGCAATTTAATATGCCCAAGGTGGTAGGTAGGATGTACATAAGGGAAAAAAATGAACGAGATTGTCAATGGAAACATACCTCATTTGAAAGAAGTGTTTGGGGGTCCGCCAAGGAATCCGGATCCATATTGATATAAAGCTCAACATTAGCTTGGAAGAGTGACTGAGAATCTTGGATTTGTCGACTTTCTTATGGTCATCATCTAGTGATATACTAGAAGTAACCACCTCAGTTCGCAGGTTAAGAATCATTGTAAAAGCATATCTACAAAGTTTTGCAAATTCGCAGCATCTTGAGCTTTGATTTCTCCACTGTGGTAGAAAGAAAGTATTCCCTGAGAATTTCGGAAGCATCCCCAACAGATATTTGCTGGTTTCGTTGTCTATATGCCAAAATAATCTCCGAAATAAATCACGGGAAAGCATACCAGAAAGGTGTTCATCCACCGCTTGAGCAGTGATGACACCTTCTGAAGCATTTGCCAAGAGAAAAGAAAAGAAGACAGTTGTGAAGGCCAAAAGTGAGCAAGTGATAGAAAGTGATGAGACAATAGCCCTACTTCCTCTATCTATGCCTATGAAAGATGTTGCAAAGAGGTCAAATTCCTGTGCTAAGCTCTTCATTGTGTAAGAAACTTGCCCAGAAAAATGCACCAGTGAAGATGGTTCTAGAGACTTGTTTTTCGTGTCAGTAGAAGAAAAGGAATTTACTGATATCGACAGTTTAATTGCATCAACCACAGCTTGTACAACTTTTACTCTCAAAGTGAGAAACCATTTTTGAAACCTGAAAGCAAGGCCAGAAGAAGTAGAAGAGGTGGGACCACCAAGCCTACAGACTGAAGAACGGAGGTCATTGCAAGCACCAAGAGTAGCTTCAACAGAGAAGCTTTGTCGGCTTGTCGTGTTTTCAGAAAGATCAAAGTTAAGCAACGATTGAAATTTACTTTCCATTTGTGAGAGATGAGTCAAGGATTCCAACCAAGAACGACAAGCTTCAGATTGGACGATGGTACTTTGTCGTTCAAATATTAGAGCTGCAGTAAGCCATGCTCCCTGACACATTGCATATTTTCCAAGTTTGTAACAGAGCCAATTTTCTTTTCTTCCCAAAATAACCCTCACACTATCAATAGCAGAAAGTTCATACTGATGAGGAGAGGAGTGAAGGTCTCCAGTAGTATTCATAATTCTACAAACGAAAGTGCATTCCAGGCAGGAGTGCAGTAGGAGGCTATAAATCACATGGATATAAATATGTAGTGGTCTGCAACCACAAACATGTTTTACCAGGAGCTTGAGATTGTCAACAACCTGAGGAGAAACTGAATTCAAACTTTCTTGATTCCGGAAGCAGTTAAAAATGACCTTCGATGCACATATCATCATGCTAACTGCAAAAGATTTACTGTTCTCTTCTTGCTGAGGATGATCTACAGAAATATCTTTAACTTTTGGTTTCCTCGTGATTTCATTCAATGTATTCACCAAGTCCCTAACAAGTAGGAAGACTTTATCCAGTAAAAGAGCACCGAGTTCATGCTTCTTTTCAAACATATCAAGTAAGAGACTGAACAAACATTTGATCTCCTGCTTCACCACACTGTTAGGTTGAAGAAGAACGTCTTTATTCGATTTAACCAAGAGAGAGAAGCGGTCCATGGCAAATGAGATTATTCTTGATGCCACAGTGGAACCTATATGACCTGATGATTCCTCTTCCGATTTTTCAAGAAGTTTGTCACAAATATCTGCTAAGTTATGAATGGCCAAGACCCTCTCTGAGATAACAACTGGGGATTCTGAAATGAGGCTAACAACTGATAAGAATCTGGAGAAAATGATCAATATCTCAGCATGAGGAATTCTGTGTAGATTATACAAGAACACCTGCAAAACAAGAGAATGTAAGAACTTTTTAATACAAATACTCCCTCCGTCCCACAAAGAACTTCACTGTTTGACTTTACAGAGTTCAAGAAAAGTGCTAAAAAGTGAAAAGTATGTGGGTGAAATTTTTTTAAAAGGGAGAAAAGTTTTTTAGGCAGCATATTCCATACATTTAAAGGAAAATGCAGAAGAGTAATTTTTTGGGGACATCAAATTAGTGTACAATTCTTTGTGGGACGGAGGGAGTAGTTTTCAGTAGTTCAGGAGGAACAATACCTTGTACAAAATACTACATGCTACACACTGCAAATCTGGAGATAGCTTGGACTCATTCAGAACATCGAGAAACTTCAGGACATTGTCTGCAGTACTTTCAGGGATGATAACTCCATGGCATAACATAAAGTTCAGGCATTTCAATGCACTAGCTTGCAGGCATGAAGCTACCTCCTCTGACAAAAATGAGGTAAGCAATTCTACCTGTCCGTCAGAAAATGAATTACTCGTATAATTATGAGGAATAATTCATTCACTTTTAAAGTCCATTCACATCTATGGGTGGATAAGCTTCAATAAAGACTGGTAATGTATGCTTTCCATGACGGGGGTTACCTGTACAGGAATCAAGCTGGTCCATTTTGAAGCAATTTTTGAAAGTGAAATCAGCATAATTTTGCAAAATTCTTCTTCTTGGCGGGATTCTAACATCAGCTTTACACCTGTCTGCGATAATACATAATTTTGAATTTAGTGCTGTAACAAAAGTTAATAGTATAAATTTAATGCCACCAACCCCATCTATTCATAAATGGCATAACTTAATTATAGTGTAATTGCTTAAAAACATTTGAAGAAAAATAGAACCCCTTCCACTCCAATATATATACAGTGGTTGCACCACTAAGCAACAAATGTCAATGCAAAGCAGTAATGTGAAACAACATCACTCTCTCAAAAGGAAACTAAATATGTAAAGAAGTGAGGAAGACATAATATAAAGAAACTTCTGGCAGGAAACTAGGCTACGCTCATCATAATAACTGTTCCATGGAAGTTGTAGAAAAGACCAAAGAAAAGCAGAACCTTGTAAGCTTTATGTGCAAGTAATATTGAGAACCATATTTTTGCTAAAGCTCGGCCTGCAGCTAACCTTATAGCCTTTGATGCTTCACGTGACATCAAATTTTCAAGCATCTCCAAAAGCACAGCAGCAAAATCATCAGCTAATTCGCAAAAGCATCCAGCAGCAAACAAAGATGCCTTTACCTGTAAAATGATTGTTCTAATGCTATTTATTAGTCAAATGGAACCATTATGAGAACAAATAATTCATGCTTCTCAAAAGAGAAGAAGAAAGAGCATAAAGCAGTAAAATGGCACCGTTACATTAAAAAACACATATGAAGTAATTTTTCTCAATCTGGAATTGGAACAAACTTATTGTCTGTTTAATACAAAGAGACAAATACGTTCTCTAAATAGCAGTAGGCAGTCGACTATGGCCTAATGCCTAGACATAGATTTTTAGATCATTAGTACTTAACACCTAGCTAGTTACATTCACATTTGGTCTTATTTTTGTTCGGCCTTATGTTTTGTTATTCATTAGTCCAATAAAGATTTGGTATCAGTCTTATAAATCACTTAAAAACATTATTTTATAAAGGAATGGAACTTACCTCCAGTATATCATTTGAAACCAAACTTGAAAGGATAAGGTATCTTATATCTGCATTATCTTTGGCAAAACCTGCCCAGCAGCCCAATAGAGCCAAAGCCATAGCTCTTTCTTCTGAATCCCCAGTGTAGAATACAGACTTCACTCTTTTTAGAAGCTCGACATGGCTTTCTAAGATACCCTTGGATATAATGCCACGATTACTTTTTCTGTCATGGCCACTCCATCTCCTTCTCTGCCACATAAAAATCTTTACAATGCATGCCCTTGTGTGTTTGTCCCCCGAGTTGAATGCATGAGCAAGCCTAAGAAAGATTGCATCAGCAAATAGCTTATCCTCTCCAGGTATCAAGCCAAACAATTTGTACTCGGCTTCTGTAATAAAAGAGTCTCTATCCCACCATTCAAGTTTCTGACCAATTTGAAGTATTGCTTCACCTGAACACCGATAAGTCGATAACCCAATTATTTTCAGGAAAATGGGGATTACAGTGAAAACCCTTATAAAAAGAAATGGAAATAACTTTATATGGTCATTTCTACAAGTTGCGAAACATGATTATATCCCAATTTGCAATAGAACAACGAAGCGGGCAAGCAGGCCTATTTAGGCAGCGTTCCGTTCAACTTATTTTTTCTGCTTATTACTTATTCTTATTATAATCAGATTAGATAAAAAACAACTTTAATTATAACTGCAAACAGATCACATCAGACCAGATCAGAAACAACTTTAATTATAATTACAATCAGATCAGGCCAGATCAGACTAGATCAGATTAGACTAGATCAGATCTGATCAGACCAGATCTTCAAAAAATCAAATCAGATCAGGCGAACGGAACACAACCTTATTTCTATTTTTAGCTTTTTTATTTTCTGTTCTCATTCTCTGGTTTTGTTACTCTCTCTGTCCTAAAATGTTTTCCCCACGTTGACTTGACATGGTTATTAATTAAGTGGAATTAAGTGGTAGTAATTGATTCTTTTCTTAAAAGGAGATGGGAAGAACAATTCAGGATGGCAAAAAAAGTATGTGGGGAGAACATTTTAGGACAAAGGGAGTACTTTTTTGTTCTCTAATTTGGAAGCATGCATCCCAAACATGTATTTACCACAATAGCACACTTGTGGTGTTGAGACTTCTTGCTGAGGTCAGCGGCTGCAGAAGTTGATGGCATTTGGCAGAGGGAATGGTCAATATTACTCAATTGTGGCAGGGTCAACACCATAAACATTGTCAATGGTGATGTGTGGTGAACCACACTGATGGTGGTCAATGAAAGGGACAGTTGGCGGCAGTCAACTACAGTGACAGTAGGGGACAATGACAGCGGTCATCAATGACGGCGGTGGTCAATGGTCAGCAAAGGTGGTGGTAAGAAGTGATTGCTAACAATAGCAATGGCCACCGATTGTGACAGTAGCTGTGGGTTTTTGATGATAGCAGTAGGAGGTCATTGATTGTGGTCGCAACTCTCGTAAGTGATTGCTTTAACTTTAAAAAAAACTGTCTTCAAATTCAGAAAATATTAAAAAAAAAGTGCATTCTAGTTTTCTTAAAGAGAATAAATAAAAATAAAAAATTGGAGAACAATTTTCTTGTTTCTGAATTTGAAAAAAAAGGTAAAGATGTTTTCTATTTTTTTTTGTCGAACTAAGAAATCATAAAACATATTTAGTAAACGTCCCCACAATTTGTGTAAACAGAAGGCAAGATTTAAGTCGCACAATGATGGCCAATGTTTTTAAAAAAAAATCAAATTTTACCAGGGCGTTTAGAACGGATGCCTTTCTCAAGATCTATGCTCCACTGCATGGCTGAAGCAGCCGGTGTTCTTTCCATATTGCTTTCTTCTGTTAGCTTGTCAATAATCAATTCCAGATGCTTTGACACAAGTTTTACTTAAATTCAATCCCTAGAGACCATGCAAGTGTGATGTTTTCCTGAAAATTGATTACCAAATATGCTAAAGCAAGTTGTAAACAATATCAGCAGGAAACAAAAAATACTTTAAAATCTCAATTACTAAGATAGACCAAATTTCACAATAGATATGTCATAAAGTTCTTTGCACTAGGATGGCCGATAGCATGCAGTGGCCTAGCACCTAGCAGAACCTAAGTGAGATCAATAGGGGGATAGATGTGAACTGGTGAGGCTAATTTGGTAAAAAACTTAGGCAACCAAGAGAGGTCTAGCACCTAGGCAGATCTAGAAAAGGGATTTTGATAACAGAGATATAGATTCATTAATATAGTATGGCAAACTTAAAGCAGTTACTCCATAATAAATACTGCATAAAGAAACACCATGATCAACAGGTAGAAGGAAAGTGAAGTATGAAACAGAAAATAAAGAAATAAGCAGTGCCAAGCTACCTAAACATCCATACAATCCATCTTCATTAATTAAACAACTTCCCCTTCATGTTTTCCCAACTGCACACTGATGCCAGACTTGGTTTGCTGGATTGCCCAAAGTAGACATCAAGAAACGCCATTCTCCTACTCTAATTGTTAAGCAACCAATTCAATCAAAAGCTCGAGCTTGTGATTGGAGGCCCACAAAACATATTTATATTCCTAACACGTACCCTCATGTCTAAACGAGATTTGATTGCTTGAATCTTGCACATTAACATAATTTTTTTCAATTTGGGTGGCGGTGAGATTCGAACAAGCGACCCCTGGAGAGGTTAACAAGGCTCCTAGACCATGTTGCAAATAAAAATCAAACAGTCACAACTTTCAGCATTATAATCAGCAAAAGTGCAGCATCAGTTATGAAGAACTAATCCATAGAGGTTTGTTTTGGTGCATGGCCAATAAAGTACTAAACAATTACTCTGGGACGTTTTATTGTTTTATGCTGTGTTTGGTTGGAGGTAGGTAAAGTTTTATTAGGTAGGTAATTGAAGGTAGATAAAGTAAGGTAAGAAGTTAAAAAATTGTGCTTGGATATTTATTGGGTAATGTGAGGTAGATAAAACAATAAAATTACTTAAATACCCTTGTGCTCATTTTTCAAATTCCTTTTTCTCCAAACATCGTTGAGAAAGCATTCAAGTACGTTCTGGAGTAATTCAAGAATTGCTTTCACCGTTAGTTCGTCATAGATTTCTCCAAAAGGAACATGTACGCATTATCTAAAATTAAAGCCACCGATTTCGTGAGATATTCTTCATCACTTAATTTCAAAAATAACATAAAAAAAAGCATAAAAAAGAAACAAACATGATCTTTCAAAAAAGAGACAAAAAATGAAAATAAAACTTCCAAAAAAAACAAAAAAAAAAACTGAAAAACACATCAAAAAATGTCAAAAAAATTGAAAAGAAAACAAAAAAAGCAAAAAGAAAACACCAAAAGAAAATGGAAAAACAAAAACAGAAAAAAAATCATAAAAAAACAGCGAAAAAAGAAAACACGATAAAGAAAAACAAAACAGCAAAAAAAAAAAGAAACCAAAAAACATCATCAAAACAAACAAAACGAAAAAAAGAAAACAAACAAAACTAAACAAAGACAAAAGAAAACAAACAAAAGGAAACAAAAACGGCAAAAGAAAGAAGAACCAAAGAAGAGGATACCTGGAAGGGCAGCCGCAGATCCAAGGGCAGGGCAGCGGCACTGGAAGAAAAAAGAAACAAAGAAGAGAAGAAGAGGAGAAACGGAAGGGCAGAGGAGGACCTAGGTTTATCGGAGGTAAGATTACCTCTCTAGATGTTTTCTCCCAAACAATGTACCTTCTAAACCTAGCCTCAAACCAAACACAACCTTAGTCTATTACTTCCAAGAACAATCGAATCCTGAAGAATAATTTCTTCTAACCAGTGAGAAAAAGATCGAACCTTTTTCACACACGCAGACACAAGAAACTCTGCAGGGGTAAAATCATGACAGAACCTTGGAAACACCAGTAAAAAAAATCAGGGATTTGGTAAGCTAAAATTTCTGTGACTAATTTCGATTAAAACGCTGGTTACCCGGATGATTATTTTTAGCGGGAGAGTTGCAGCACAATCACAGAATTCATCAATTTGCTGCCGCCGCCGCCGCCACCCGTCAACTGCTGATTTTCGCGGATGAATCTGGCGTTTACTGTTCCGATGGTGCGGGACTGAAAGAGGGAGAGCGAGTAAAAGAAGGAACCCACTTTTTCTTTTTCTTTCCTTCACCAAACATAGTGTAAAAAGATCAAATACGAGTATTTTTCAATTTTGTTTGCATATTGTTTTTTTGTTAATTATTCTTTCTATTTAGATTTAATTTTCTTATTTTAATTTTTTCTTAATTTTAAAGAAAAATTGACGAAAATACTTTTACAAAAAAACTTAAGCATGAGAAATTAGAAGGTTAAATCTAAACAGAGAAAAAATTATGTACATTACTATTTTTTTTAGTAATGCACATGACCATGTTTGTTAATGTAAGTCATATTTCGAGAATAAAAACATGGAAGTCCTATTTGTGTATATTTTCAAAGTTTTAGTCCTACTTTAGTTTTTCTTCCAGTAAAATACTCTCTCTATCAACCAAATGTCTTCTCATTGCGCTACAAGGCTTGACCAACTTTATTTTCAATTCAATTTATATGATTGTATAGGTAAAATTTAAAAACAAAATTCATATAGTAAAACAAAAATGAAAAATTCTACAAAACTAGCGGTGACAAAACTATATTATTTTATGAAATAAATAGTAAAAACAAGTAAATTAAAAGAATTAAATTTGACTTTGTAAACAGTGTTCGAGAAGATTTATGATGGATTGAAGGAAAATAATTGTTTTTGAAAATGACATGTTTTTAGGCATGACATACGGAGTATCTTTAGTGGTACATTATTCTTCCTTTGCGTACGGGGAAGTATAAGCTGTTGTTTTTCCTTTTGTCTTCTCTAATCGGGAAATTCACAATTCCACATATTTAGAGCCCGGCGCACAAAAGGCGGTGGAACAGCGGCGCGGCGCGGCGGAGGGAGCATATACAAACATACACGACACCGACCAGATCGACGCGGCACTAATTTTATTAATTATCGTATTATAGGAGGGTGTATGTGTCTTTGTCAGCTGCCGTACGGTCCGGGGAGGAATCGGGTTCATTCTGGGATTGGTCGGAGAAGAGGACGAAGATGAAATTTGGGGAGACATTTATGGAGTACATTCACGAGGACGAAGGCAACAAGCTGTCCTATGTCGAATACAAAAGCCTCAAGAAGGTTCTCAAACGTTGCTCCGCATGCAACAACACTTTGAAGGGGTCCGATGAATGCTGCTCCAGTAATTCGATTTCTCTTCTCTAATTTCTTGTTTGTTAGAATCTCCATTGAATAGTCCCGATTGAGATTTTTGATTTTTTTCCTGTAATTGTTATATGAATTCATGCATATTCGTGGAAGATCTTCTCCAGTTCTGGTGCAAAGACAAAAATTTTTCTTCAAATTTATGTGTTTTTCCCATCCAACCAACAATTTATTCCCCCCAATACGATCCGTACCATGATGATGGTTGTGTGCTGTGTCTGGAATTGCATTTGTATTTGTTTCTCGTTAGCTGAGGGTTCATTGCAGATATTTAAACACGAAGGTATTGACAATTTGACCTCCAAAGAATGGGGGTTTTCAAGGGAAAATTGTTGTTTTCATCGGATTATGTAATGTGGCACCTTGTTGTCAATTTCGTACTCTATAATCCAATCCCCCAACCATAGAAATTGTCATTTTTGTAATCTGCATGTTTAATTTTTTTGTAATGTAGTTGAGGGACAGAATTGACTAAACTCAAATATATGCAAATGAAATTGACATAGTAATGATCATTTTGTGTATATTGTTTTTTTAGTGTGTGACCAAACGTTCTTTCCTGAGCTGAAGAAAGAGGCTTCTAACATCGCGGGGTGTTTTAGCTCTAGAGTGAGAAGGCTTCTCAGGCTCCATACGGCTCCAGGCGTGCAAAGATATTTCACATCCTTGCGTCACTGTTTTACTGATAATCAACAAACCATGGTCCAAGAGTGTCACATGTTAATGCAATATGCAGCGATGAATGCTATTGCTATGCGCAAAATCCTCAAGAAGTATGACAAGGTGAGGCTTTTTTCTTGGCTTTGTTTGTGTATATTCCTACTCTTAGAGTACTTACTCACATATAACAGGTCACACGAAATTTTGACTTAATTTTATTGCATCTGTTTGTTTTACGGTTGTGATTTGTGACTCATTCTCAAAGTTTATATGATCTCAGGCTTATTTATACTTTAAAGTTTAAATCGTACAAAAATTGAGTTATAAGGTGTTTTAGTGAATTTACCTTGGTATAAACTAGGTACCATATAAGATATAAACTTCCTAACTTTTACCATCTTTTAGGGCACTTTTTAGGGAATGTACCCACTTATTATCCATCATACAATTATTTAAAAATATCTTCTTGTAGATTCATGGCTCTGTCAAGGGGAAAAATTTTAAATCTGCAATAAGAGATGAACACTTGGAGATTCTGCAATCACCGTGGTTGATTGAGTTAGGAGCTTTCTATTTGAACTTCAATGCCTCAAATGATGGGAGTTCCAAAGAGCTCTTCAGCTCTTTCTCTTGCGATTTTGACCCCTCGGAGTTTTCGCTCACTTTGAAACTTCCAGATGCAGTGAAATTAGAGTACAGCCTAACATGTGCTGTTTGCCTGGTGAGTCATATATTTACTTCTCCAGAAAGAAAAAAGAACTCTCTGATATTCAAGATAGCATTCTACAAGTACTAATTTGGTGTTGCTTTTTTAAAAAAGGATTTTGTATTCAACCCTATAGCCTTAGGGTGTGGCCATCTGTTCTGTAAATCATGTGCGTGCTCTGCAGCGTCCGTAATGATGTGTGAGGGTCTAAAGGCTGCAAGTAAGGAATCAAAATGTCCCATTTGTCGACAGGTTAGTATCTACTTTCTTTGTCCTAGTGTGTTTGTTCAATATTCATTTTTGGATTGTCGCAATCTATTTGTCCACTTTCCATTTAAAGAAAATACAAAAAGAAACACTGACTTTTATTTCCCATCACTTTATAATCAAATCCCCCAACTCAAATACTCCCTTCGTCCCAAGTTAATTGGCACAGTTTGATTTTATAGAGTTTGAGAGATGTGTTGAAAAGTAAAAAGTGAGTGAGTGGTTCAAATTTGTTTAGAAAAAAGAAAACAATTGGACCACATATTATTTACTTTATTAGAAAAGTAAAGAAGCGTGGCATTTTTTTGGGATGAAAAGAAAAGTGAGACGATTGATTCGGGACAAAGGGAGTTATAAAAGTAAGGGCATAAATAATGGTCACTTCTTTTTAATCTTCTTGGTCCATGTGCCAAAATAAACATGGAATATTACATGAGGATGGAGGGATATTTGGTGTTTCACTATTTGCGCTTATGAAGCAGCTTTTATCTTTATGCACCTTGGTTATATTGACACCAAGGCTCAATGTCATATTATGACACTCAATCAAATTGTCGTTCCTACGGTGTTCCGTTCAAAAATTGATAGTTCCTACCTCCTAATCCTGGTAACAACACCCCAAAGTCAACTAAATTTGGGGGTGCAATTGAAGGGGGTGGGTGGGGTGGATTCCAATCAAGCCGGGTGTGGGGGGGGGGTAATGAGGGGTTGGCAGGGAACCATCAATTTTTCGAATGGAGCATTGTAGGGGCCTCAATTAGGCGAGCATTGACACCCAAAACGATTGTTATTTTAAACTAGCCGATCTTTATAACCTTATTGATAATTACAACACTTGCATTTTTAGATTTTTCACTCTTGTTATATTATGGCACATGACACCCTACACCTTCTATTTGAGTGTTCCTCCTAGTGTATATTCCACAATATAAATAAGAGGAAGGATATATTGACACCACTTAACTTTTTGTTTTACCCATTAACCATCTCTCATTAATGACTGATAAAATGGTGTGAGAGTGGTGTTAATATATTGTTCCTCTATAAATAAAGATTTAATAGTTACTCTTTTAACTTTACAAGCGTATCCTCGTGTGAAAGTTGACCTTTTTACAAGATTGCATAATAAGGGCCAGTTTTACATTCTAGCCGTAACCCCCCACCCCACCTCCCAAAAAATGGAAAAAATAAAAGTTTATGTGGCAAAATAAAAGTTATATGACTTGAAAACATATGTATAAACAAACTTTATAGTCACAACTGCCCAGTTTCTAACTACAACTCTATAACACCTCATTTTTTTGTCAAAAAAGGTGGAAACCTCACACCCTTGCCCCCCGGGGTTGGTGAAGGAGGTAAATCGCATGCAGTTAGTCAATGTCCCAATATTGCCACGTCCTGTCTCACTATAGAAGGGATTCAATTCCAAACTCTTTCATGTAGCAAGAATCGAACCCCCACACTGCAGGCCGCAAGCAAGGCTGTCATTACAACACTTTGGGTCTTTACCAAATACCAACTGAGATGTGCCCTGGGGGAACCTCATTTTTTGTCAAAATTATTGGTCATCGTCAACCATCTTTGCCTGCTTTCTCTGCAATTTACTGCCAAATAACCAAAAATACTTTTTTTCCCTCCAAAATATTACACTTCTTAATTGCATTTTAGTACTTTAAATTTGATAATAGAACAATTCAAAACTCATTACCTTTAATTTTCAGCAGTTTTTATTTGTTGTACTTATTTCAGGTGGGCGTTTACACTGATGTAGTGCACATGATGGAAGTAGATTTGCTTTTGAAGAGGAGGTGAGTTTTGAAATGATAAAAAAACTCTTTTCAGTTTCCCTCATTGAATGACCCAAAAAAACACTTCCCAATTTATATCAACATGTGACTCCCGGGATTTCTCGCTCATCTAAACAAATGTCAACTATTCACTTTTCATTTTTCAACACTTAAACACTGTGAAAGTAAAACTAGGAAATGTTTTTTGAGACAGGGGGAGTATATGCATAAGAATATATTAATGTTGAATATTTCCTTCCGTGGCCTTCTCTATTTTGTCTTCCAATAAAATTAGGTGATGATGATGATGATAGATTGTGCACTCTTTTTTGCCTTGATTTTAG